TGCCATTGTCTCTCCTTAAACTCTGCAGTGTATAGGCTATGCGGCCGTTAGTCCTTTACAGAAGCATTAAAAATAAATCTTAAAAATAAAATGATAAAGGCTACAGAAAGCGAGCAACAAGTGCTCCCAAGCTGTCATTCACTTCAGCTGCAGCGCGAAAGGCTAGAATGCGCAACGCTGCAAATCGAATGTTGAGGCTCCGCCATTAGGCTGTATACTTTTACCATCTAATCAATCTCAGCATGCTTTAATTTGGTATCGCTAGACGTTTGCATCACTAAGGTTAAATTACCTTAAGTCTTTCTTTGGCCTGCGCTCTGGAAGTGATCTATTAAATAGAATAAACTTTAATTACTAAAACTAAAACTGAAACTAAACTATATAAAAACTAAATAGAAATGTGTTCACAAAATAAAAACTAAACTAAAACTAACACAATTATTAATGAAACTAATAAAAACTCAACTAAATTTTATTGCAAATTTGAAAATGATATTAAAAGTTGTTTATGGATGCTCAAATAGGCCAAACCGAGAAACCACAAGGAACAAAGAAGTCAAAAGTCAAGAAATTTACTGAAAAACGCAGGAAAACTAAAAATCGCTCCTCTTTATAACATAAGGATCACGTCCAACATGCTGTGATTATAACTTTCTCTTGTAATAGCGTGGTGGTTGAAGAGAGATCCCCTCGTGATTGTAAAGCACGGTGGGTGTATAGAAATTCAATTAAAGCATATATATATATATATATATATGGGTCATTCTATGGAAACGTCCACTTTTCTGTCCGCTCCTCCCGACCGCAGACGCAGGTTTACAAGCCACTTTTTCCTGTGTTTTTCAATCAATTTCTTGACTTTTCCCCCCTTATGAACAACACATTTTCGAACACGATAAAAGCTCCTTGTGGTTTCTCGGTTTGTCCGATTTGAGCATCCATAAACAACGCAAAACACAGGCATTTTGAGTTTCTGCTAGTGATTCCTTTGGAGAGAAAAATCACTTCCTGCCCTCCAGCTGCATTTCGCGCGTCATCAGTGACCTCATGTGCAAACAACCTATTGCTGAGTGAGATCGGGACTCTTATTTTGAAAATGAACTGAGACACGTTTGCTCCTTTCTCCTCAATTTTTCCTGTTTTTACAGGTATGACATTTAACAACAACAAAACAATATGCACACGAGTCATTTAATTCCTATGTTTATGTTGCAAATATATTGTTTATAAATGTTCCGGTTTCTGAAGTTATTGAATATGCGTAGATCGTCTTACATTTTGTGGACGCTGTGAAATGCTCGCTTGTGCATTTCTGTAAAATGGACGCTTGTGATGTGCTCGTGAAATGCGTTTATTTCATACAGGCTCCAGTTACCAGGTTATGATTATTTTTTATTCATATTATAATTGTGTTTGGTTAATCAGAGTTCATGTGTGACATAAATATCAATGCACTTCTCCAGACAATGTTTCAAACAGACATTCCAGTGCAAACGAATGTAATGCAATTCTATTTCCTGCCAATACAGAAGGAAAAACTTAATGTTAATGTAACATGATGGCAGATCTGATTATAAGATCAGTAACTGGAATGTTAAATGTGTATGTTTTACATCTATTTCTCAGGTTCTTAGGCCTTACATATTCAGTCATGTGTGATGATTTTATACTCATCAGATACCTTTTGACTTGTCTGAGTAGATTTAAAGGAGCAAAGTGAAAAGCTCAAATGTATGTTTTGTTTTGTGGGGGAAAAAAGTAAAAAAAATTAAAAGGTGAAATGTGCATTGTTTTGACAATAGATAAAAAGAATGACATTTGTGCATTAATGAGAAAAAAATAATGATACTTTATTGATAAAGCTTTATTGAATTACAATGTGAAAAAAAAAAACATTGAATAAACAATTGCTGGGGATTATGTGCGACACAGACACGTTTGCTCCTGTTTCCTCAATTTTTCCTGTTTTTACCGGGACTTTCTAATCTGCCAGCATGGCCTTCTGCACGGGGCCTGTAACACTGACAGTCATGTTTTCCCCAGCCTGGAGAAGAGCAGCTCCACAGGGACGTCTCATTCCCCTCACACTCCACCTCATCCAGCCATATGGGTCCAGAACCAGGACCAAACCAGGCTGGTACCTGCTGGTTACTGAGGGCCACTCCACACTGCAGCTGTCTGCACACCACATGAGCATCTTTAATATCCCAGGAGTCATCACACACTGTCCCCCATGAGCCGCTGTGAAAAACCTCCAGCCTCCCTGCACAGTCTCCCCAAGAACCCACCAGCCTGATGGACCCGCGACCTGACATTCAGAGACAGAAAAACACATTATTGATCACGAACAACTGAAGAATCTGTCCAGATGTTGTTGTTCTCACCAAGGCAGGTGATTGACAGCTGTTGTGTGGAGCTGCAGTTGAGAGTTTGTGGAGAGCTGCAGTTCCCCAGATGAGCTTCACTCCCAGAGCACTGGAAGCCCGTCACACACTCATGACTGTGTTCAGGACTGGATGAAGAGGAGCCGTAGAAGTTCAGCACAGAGCCACAGCCCAGCTGTCTGCAGACCACAGAGGATTCAGTGAGACTCCAGGAGTCCAGCAGAACTCTCCTCCAGACCTGATGGATGAAAACTTCCACCTCCCCCTCACACTGTGTCTCTCCAGACAACCGCACCAGACCGTCAGGAAGAACCAGAGAGGAACCTGAGTGAAAGATGTGGCATTTCATTAATATACTGCAAGCAGTTTTTCCAAATTTTCAGGGGAAGTGGCTAAATGACATTGTGATGTCACTGCACGGTGACATCATTACATACATGACACAAAACTGTAATTGTAGAACACAATGAGATTATACTCAAATTGACTGGCCTCTCAGTGAAAAATAGGATTTGAAATATGTTAATTTAGATTTGTTCATAAAAGTAATAGATATTATTTAATAGATAGATAGTAAAGTAATATAAACACAACACATTTTTATGATCAGATATTTTCATTTTTAAATACAACATTGAATTACTGAATACTGTAGTTACACACATTTTAACAATTACATTTTATTTTCTCATTTACTAGTAAAACTACACATTCTGAACAATAATAGTTTTAAGCAGTATATTTTGGTAGCTAGTTAATATGCTACACTGTAAGAAAAGTCTGTTAAAATAGGTCAGAGAGTACTGTGTTAATATGAAGACATTTTCTGTATTGATTTTTCACAGGTGTTTTACCTTTATTTTAAATTATGCATTGCATTTTTATTTTTATTTTTTAAAGGGCTGTGTTATTTTTGTGGCTTTTGTTATTTTAGGGCTACAGGTTATGTACGTTAAAACAACAGATAATGTCCTGGCAGAAAATTAACAATAACCTTTTCAGTTCTCTAGAGATTTTGTTGTTGTTGACCCAACTGATTAACAATTATAGGAACAAGCTAATAACAAGGTACATCATAAATGACAATTATTAACAATTATAAACAATTATCTTGTCTATGAGAACATTCAGCTCGACTCCATGAAGAGATGGAACATTCTGAGAGTTTTGTTTCATTCCCGTCACAATCAAACACATCAGCCCAGATTTCACCACTTCCCTCTCCAAACCAGTCTGATCCCACAACAGACACAGCAATCCCACAATTCAGCTGTCTACAGAGGACACTGGCAGCTCTCATATCCCAGCATGCATCACACACTGCCCCATTTACTGAAGTATTGACGTTCAACTCGACTAGAACAGTTGTCAGGGCCGTTCACCAGCATGAGATCTGTGTAATGTGGACAGACAACACAGTTCTTACTGAAACCAAATACAATAACTAAACAAAGAAAGAAATAAATAAATAAAAAATAAACCAAGAAAACAGATAATCTGAGTAATTCTCTAATTCTAACCTCTGTTTAATATGGTCAAAGATCTCAAAGTGTGGCATTGAACAAACGAATTAATTTTAGTATTTAACAATTGGAACTATTCTTCACAAAGAGGTTAAACATTTTACCAGAACATATCAGTCCTATGTCATTATCATGGGTCCAGGTTATTTTAGGTGAAGTTGACAATGGACAGCGTCGAAAGTGTGTTCATTTCCTTTGCACTGAATCTCTTGTGTCCAAACAATTATTATTGAACAGTTGCGAGTAGCAACTTAATTCCCATATGATATGTGTACTGCTAGACAGCTCCCTCCAGACTGATGTGCTGCTTGGATGACTAGCTGTTCAATGGTTTCCTCTTTTTGTCTTTTTAGAGGGAACATGCATGCTTTTTTTGGTCACTTTTCAAATGTTGTCACTGCTAAAAATAGCTAAATATGTTGCTAGGTGCTTTAAAAAAAAAAAAAGTTGCTAGTGCAGTTTACAAAGTTGTTACATCTAGCGACAAAATTGCAAAGTTGGGAACACTGATTGCAAGGTAATTCATTTATTACATTTTTTAAAATAAAATCCTCTCACCAGAGCAGATGACTCCAGCATCTCGTCTGTGAGAACATTCAGCTCGACTCCATGAAGAGATGGAACATTCTGAGAGTTTTGTTTCATTCCCGTCACAATCAAACACATCAGCCCAGATTTCACCAATTCCCTCTCCAAACCAGTCTGATCCCACAACAGACACAGCAATCCCACAATTCAGCTGTCTACAGAGGACACTGGCAGCTCTCATATCCCAGCATGCATCACACACTGTGCCCCACTCATTAAAGAACTGAAGCTCCACTCTTCCAGAACAAGAGTCTGCGCCATTTATTAGTCTGAGATCAGTGTAACCTGGACCAAAAAAAAATAATAATTTTTTGTCATTACAAGGCCCATTACTTACAAAAACAGTATCTCTCATATAACATGTGATGATTGAGAAAATTCTTTGAGTTTCTTTCTTCTGTCAAACACAGAATAAGATATTTTGAAGAATGTTGGTAACCGAACAGTCGATGGTAGCCATTGACTTCCATAGTACTTTTTTCATTACAATGGATGTCAAGGCCTACTGTCAACTGTTTGGTTAGCAACATACAGGTTTGGAACAACTTCAGGGTGAGTAAAGAATCACAGAATTTTCCTTTTTGGGTGAACTATTACTTTAAGATTGAAACACAAGCTAATTTTCATTTTTGGGTGAACTAACCCTTTAAGCAGCAAACTTTGCAAAACACAAAATTTACGTCACTGCCAAAACTTTTGGCCATGACTGTAATTTGGTGTACGTTGACGGTACATGGTAGGAATGAGTTGGATGGAAGGTGCTAGATAGAGAAAAGAGGTAGATAGCAAGTGGAGATATTTAAAGTCTCCTCACTGTGTTATACGTCCTCTAAAGTGCATGGTGTCAATGGCAGCTTTTCAGCAAGATGGATAACAACACTATGGCCAGGCTTTTATCGGCCTCCCAGGAGCTAAACACAAAAGATACCAGCCATTGCATGGACACATGGGGATGTATGCATTTATCCATGGCTGCTGGCAAATGAAAGTGCTGGCTGTGCTTTTGGCTAACAAGATAGTTGGTTTGTGAACAGAAATGTGTTGTACAAACATACACTCTAAAAAATGCTGGGTTAAATACAACGCAGCGCTGGGAAAAATATGGACAAACCCAGCGATTTGGTTGTTTTGACCCAGCAGTTGGGTTACTACCGAGAAGGTTGGGTTAAACATTTAACCCAACCGCTGGGTCAAAACAACCCAATTGCTGTGTCCTTTAGTGTAGGCTTTGACCCACTACAGGCTACATTATCCATCCAGACTGGTCCTAATCCTGGTCCAAAACGACTCAGAGCATCTACAGGTTCTCCACAGTCCAGCTCTCGAACTATTCTTCACAAAGAGGTTAAACATTTTACCAGAACATATCAGTCCTATGTCATTATCATGGGTCCAGGTTATTTTAGGTGAAGTTGACAATGGACAGCGTCGAAAGTGTGTTCATTTCCTTTGCACTGAATCTCTTGTGTCCACATCTGAGCGTCTCCTTTGTTAAAAGCAACTGCTCCCAGCACCTGTACACTCTTAAAAATGCGGGGTTAAATACAACCCAGTGCTGGGTCAAATAGGGACAAACCCAGGAATTGGGTTGTTTTGACCCAGCGGTTGGGTTACTACCCAGAAGGTTGGGGTCCTAATCCTGGTCCAAAACGTCTCAGAGCATCTACAGGTTCTCCACAGTCCAGCTCTCTACACACCACTGCAGCATTAGGCATACCCCAACCAATGTCACACACTGTTCCCCACTGACCTCTATGAAGAACCTCCACTCTACCAGCACAAGGACTCTTACCATCAACTAACCTCACAATCTCAAAATCTGTACAAGGAAGAGAGAAAGAGATTTAAATCACCTACAAGCAGAATATTGCAGTTGAAAAACACAAGATGTAAAAAAGGTAGTAAATACAAATATTTATAGATATTTCAAGATGGACGCGAGAATATTAAAAATAATCCTGTCAATCATTAAATTGTTAGCCTGTAAAGCTCACATAGTTTATACAGTTTCATTGACAATGAATTAACTAGTGTCATAAGATATAGCTTTTAGTGATATAAGGCCATCACAGATAAACTGCTCATTCAAACATATATAATTTAACCTCTTTACAATCTTGTTCGTACTTACCAGATGTGGTTATGGTGAATATGGAGGCGAGTAAAACGAGTGTCGGACATCCCTCCATCTCCTTCTGCTTGTCATACCATCTGTTTGACTCTGTCCCTAAAGAGAGAGAGGGACTCACAGCTGCCAATGACACTCACTCTTACCTTATTAGACACAACAGAGGAAATCATCAAACACAATCAGTGACAAATCAGAAAGCAGCATTTTTATTTTCTCCATATATATCAATAAAGGGTCAGCACTGAAACACTGCAGGTTATATTCAGCAAAAAGCACTGATGATTGTTTTTTGTAAGTCTGATCACTTCAAACACTTACAAAAACTTACTAAAACTAATTCCCATGACTAATTTGAATAAATGTAACATTTCACACATCTCCTTGTTTCTGGACAAATTATGCATAATATTACTGTAAGTGGATTTTACTTCTAATTTTTATTCTAACCAATGTAACAATAAAATATGATTACACCATAGTATAAACTATATTGTTAACTATTCTGATGAATGTTTATTACATAAATTAAATACACAAATAATAATCAACTGATATATATCTTGGAGACTAATGAAACAGCAATAAACATGTGCTGCAATGCTGTATTTGTCCAGCAGATAGCAGCAAAACGCTTCTTATTTTAAGGACGATCAGACAAGGGTCTTGTCCTTGTGTCACCGCATGAGGGAGATTCTCCCTGTTCGTATTTCAGTTTTCCTCTCTTATTTGTAACTGAATTCATAATTGTACTCTTTATTTGCTGTTGTAATATATACTAAACTAAAATATATAATACAAACTAATTACATTGCATGTAATTACACTCTTTAGCAAGACTGATTTTAATATGGGGGTTTAATGACTAATTCTAACATATTTGGTCCCTGCAATATTGAATATTTGGTCTTTTTACACATTAATTTAACATGTACAAGATGATGACGCTGCTTCATTCTATTAGGGAAAAACGTTTTGAACTATGCTGATGATAGCAAGCAGGGCTTCTGTGTCACTATAGAAACATACTAGCTGAACAAGATCCTCCTCAGTGTTGCCAAGTCCGCGGTTTTCCCGCTGAATTTGGCTACTTTAACACTGTTGCCGCGGGTTGTTTTTCATGTCCGCGGGTTGAAA